TGTAAAAGTTAACTATAACCGAATAAAAGGAGCCGGCCAAGAGGCCACCTTAACACCAAAAAAAAAAAAAAAAATTTGCGTAGATCAAAATTTAATATGACGCAAACATATGTTGATCAACTTACATAATTTACAAGTAATTTACGTAAGTTACAATAAAACTTACATTAGTAAAATATATGTAACTTATATGTAAGTTAACAACCCTAATTCTAGTGGACTGGGTTTATGACTCCCTTAGTGAATGGGGGTGGTTTGAGTTTATGACTCCTAATACTAGTAGTTATGAACCCAATCTACTAGAATTTACAAAACATTCCTTTCGATCTAGAAATTGATCTGCACTATTTTTAGATTTCTTTAGCATAACAAGTTTTTTTGATTTTATAGATTTTTTTATTATGTAATTCATTGTTGTAACTTATAGTAAAATTGTATATCTATTCAAAAATCAGATAAAATCAAATCATAAAATGGGCCTTTTTAATATGAGCATTAAGTTTTAAGATTGAGTAGAATAAAAAAAAAACTGATAAAAAAAATTAAAAACACTTCATGACCCAAATTGTGAATTATCTGCATCAGAATCATTTGCATCATAATCATCTGCATTAGCAACAGAATCATTACTATTATAGCTAAGTAAAATAATTGGCAAGATTGTCTGATGAAGCTCTTCAAAATTCAAATCCAATGTATTGCCTATTGGTGAATAATAAGTATTTCCTAGCATAGCTTCACTTGGTTGTTCGTTATAATCAATTCTAAAAATGTGAAATTATAAGAAACTGTAAAACAAAGAAATGATGTGAGAAAGAAAAAACATACGAATAATCTGCTACTTATAAAATCGATAGGAAAAACATGAACAATTTTAGAAAAAGTAAATCAAAAAAAGATAAAAAAATAATAGTAAGGAAAAAATATACGTGTGGCAATTTAATGATGTAACCAAAGATTCAGAACCAAATAATTGATTAGTTGCGATGTTACCCCTACTATTGATCGCCAAACTTTCTAAGGTGATCTCCTTCTAAAGAAATATAAATTCTTAATAAAAAAAAGATAAAAAAATAATGGTAAAGAAAAAATATAAAACTTATCTACTCATGATATATATGTTATATACATATGATATATATATGCTATACATGTTATATATATACTAT